GCGAGCCAAGATCCTCATTCACTCCCATGACTCCGGGAGCTGGGGCTTTAGGGAAAACGCTAAATATCACAAGACTGGCCAAAAAAATCATGAGAGCTGGTGACATACTGCATGTGTTTCCTCCCTTCCACTAGTTCTCCACACCGACAGCAAGAAAACAGGCTGAGTGCAGAGAGGGACCTGTCCCCTCCCGGGAAGTGTGTGCCTGACTTGGCTTATGCACATATATGTCACTGGCCTTTGCTGGGGAGAACACCTATCACACGCTCAGGCCTACATCTGTTACATTGAGGCGCTGCAGAGGGCATGAGTGGGGCTGGCAGCACTGAGAAAGCCACAATGGGGTCTGGTTCGGAGTCCCAGCTGCAGAATGTGCAGGACATGCCCAGATACATGCACACAGAGTGAACCTGAGCTCCTGATGGGAGGCCCCTGGGCCTGCTTTAGTGCCCCATCCCCAGCTGGCAGTGAGTTTACAGGGACCCTGGGGGGCGAGGAACCATCCCCAGTAGTGGATACCATGAGGAGCTGACCCCAGCTGTGCCATGCTGGGCACCGACCACATCCTTAGGGGCCAGCAGACGGGATGTGGAAATGCCCATGTTTCACCAACAGATTCGCTCCGTTTTGGAAATAGCTGAGAGCATGCACCTCCATCTCCTTCCAGCGCTGAGTGATTCACGCCCATCCCAGCTGAGCGGGAGGAGCAAGGGGAGCGACGAGAGCACACAAGAGGCATGAGTCTTGCCTCACACCTTGGTTCCGTTGCAGCTCACAGGGGTCAGCGCAAGCCTTGGCTTCGCTCCGGACGTGCATGGAGCCCACCCCCTGCGGTTCTGGTGCAGATAGTCTCACCCACCCACACTTCCCCTTTGGGGGAATGACCCCTCTGGAAGTATGCATCCCATTCCAGAGGAACCTGCCTCTGATAACAAGCTGGCACCTTGGCCCACATTCGTACCTGCCAGTGCCGTGCTCCACGTCCGTGCTCCCACTGCTCAGCCGATAAACAACGTGCCTGCCAGGAGCAGCTGGAGAGAAGGAGCCCTGGCCAGAGGCAGCACATACCTTAGGGCTGCGTTTTACAGACACAGAGGGAGAACCAGACGCTTGAACGTGTTTTTTAAATACCTAGAAATCTGGTCCCTGCAAAACCCACAGCAGCAAAGCCGCGATGAACAGCAAGTGCCCAGAGCAGCACAGGCCAAAGAGAAACGCTGCCTGTCTCCCCACAGGGTTTGAGGCTCACGCAGGGTTCCAGGCTGCAACTTCTCTGCGTTCTAGGCTGTCTCCCCACTGGATTCTGGAGGGCCGCCTCGCAGAGTTCCAGACTGCCTCCCCTCAGCGATGGGTCTGCAGCCGGCCGGGTCCAGGGACATCAAGGGGTGATGTTAACCCTTCCCCGTTCAACACACTCTCCTGCGTGAGGCCAGAGCAGGTGCTGTCATCCCGACTGTGAGAGCTTTGCAAAATACTTGTGTCAAACTCAAACCAGCTGGAGCAGAGCAGGGTTTGAGGGCCAGTGTTTTCCCAGAGCTTCACCTGGGCTATGGGCGCTCGGTGAACAATCTGGGGAGCCACCAAACCACACCCCGAGCTGCCACGGCCACTCTCCCCCAGCAAGGCCTGAGACCTCATTGTTACTTAGAAGGATAAGGAAGGTTGAGGGAGTGCCATGCCATATAGGGCAAGAACCATCTGTCACTAGGGAACTGGCCTCTCACTGCTGGGCCCTCAGTGAAAGGTCCCAGGGTGGATGGGGTGGAGGATGCTACATGGAAGGGATGTACCACTAACCACTAACCCAGGAACCTATCCTTGTAACAAACCCCGATGCCAACTCTGTCCACATATCTATTC